AAATACAAAGACCTACAAATAGAAATAGAAAGACTGTGGCAAGGGTAGTCATAGGCGCCTTGGGTGCAATCCCAAAACAACTGGAGCACCACTTGGACACCATCATTGGCATTGACAAATTCGCTATTAGTCAATTGCAAAAGGCGGCCTTACTAGGAACTCCTTCCATCCTGCAACGATATCTGTAATACCATCAAACCTCCACATCTGCCTATCCCAGGTCCTTGGTAAGGACTCGATAGGTAGACAAAATGCCAAATCCAGTCTGAACATCTGGCTGAGTGTGCGATGATCCATCATCATCATCATCATCATCAAGTTGGACAGGTTGGATAGCTGACAGGTCTGAATAACATAACTTTTCCAACAGTTTGAGAGCGTGCCAGAATTGTTTATTTATTTATTTATTTTGAATGGGACCAATTTTCCTTTTTTTTTTTTTTAGTTGCCACCAGATCCTTCTGAAAAATGCTTGGATTCTTAAAGCAGCCAATTGTCTTTTCAGTGGAAATCAATGTAAACCTGGTGATTTTAACTGTGGTCGGATTAATCAGACGGCTGTGGGCACTGTCCTATCCCAGAGTTGTAAACTGATCCAAATATAAGTGTCTACCATAGATTGAGTAGATTTAAAGTGTCCGTATCGACAATGCCTCTTCCGGGGATTAAAAAGAAACCTTTCTCTCTGCTATTTATAAAGTCCGTTGGCGGAAAACCCCAACGTTGCATTTTATTCCAGACACTTAAACTGTTATTCAGTCCAGCTTTTTGGGGTGTGAAAAAGCCTGGAAAAGGAATTGAGATTAGCATTAATCAAGCTGCCACGGTGCACAATGGGGCTTGTTTATATTTTATGGTATGACGGAATTGTAGCTGAATGGATGAAGTGAACTCTACTGTGATTTGACTTCACGCTACGTTGTGTGTTTAGGATATGCATGGTAGTCCTCGACTTACGACCGTAGTTCAGCCCAAAATTTCAGCTGCCAAGGATGGAGACAGCTGTTAAGTGAGTTTTGTCCCATTTTACGACCTTTCTGGACACAGTTATTAAGTGAATCCCTGCAGTTGTTAAAGTTCATTTAACAGCCGTGTTACTAATTTAACAACTGCAGGAATTCCCCTTAACAATGGTGGCCAGAAAAGTCGTAAAATGGGGCAAAAC